TCCCAGCCCGTTGCCCCCAACAACACTGCCCGCCCCCAACAACACTGCCCACCCCCTGGCCCACGCATTCCCTCCCTCCCTCAAAGCCTGTCTGAAAGCCACGCCTTTGGGGAGCCTGGGAACAGGCCAAGCTGAGCACCCTCCACACCTGGCCAGCTCTCCTTTTGTCATCATTTTTGTCATCCTTGTCATTGTCGTCATTGGTCACTTTCATTTCTCTGCTTAAGAGCAGGGACCTGCGCACACCGGGCACTGGTTAGGCTCCCCGAACTCGTGTGGGAGGAGGGGTCGGGAGGCCACCTGCCCACACGCTGCATTCCCTGGCAGCTCCTTCCCCGACTCTGCGGATGCAGGCGGAGTGTCGCCGTTGTCCTTCTACATTCAGCCCTTATCCCACGGCAAGACGGTCAGTGAGAGTGAGCTGAGCGCCAGCGCCACCGAGCTGCTGCAGGACTACATGCTGACGGTAGGCCCTGGGAAGAGAGGCAGGGGAGGAGGCCATGCTGGGACAGGCTGCTTCCCCCTCTGGAGCGGGCGCCTTGGGCACACCTGGTGATTCTGCCTGCATCGCCGCCTCTTCCCAGGGCCAGTCTGGAAGAGCACGAGCTGGTGGGGTGAGGTGGAGGGGCCTCGGCCGTCGAGGCTGGACCACAGTCCATGCCTGAGTCCCAGGAGGTGGCGGATGGTGGGCCCCGAAAGGCCACCAGCCAGACACTTCCTACCCGTCATATGAAGTTTAGTGACTGAAAGCTTTGTCTTCCTGATCTGCATGTATTTTGTACGCTGAAGGCGTCAGTGTTGGCCCTGGGCCCCAGGTCACCAACTTCCCACCCCCACCCTGCTGACTCTGTCCAGGCCCCCTGCCTCCCGCACCCTCCGGCGAGGTGCTGGTGTTCCAGCTCAGGAGCGTGGAGCTGCCGGGTGCCTCCCTCTCTGGGTAGCTCCCACACCAGGCCCGGCAGGACGAGGACGCGTTGTGGACGTTCTGACCCACGGCCTGTGCAGACGTGAAGCTAGAGGCGGCCAGCGTGCGCTTGGCGGGGGCTTGGCACACGGGTGTGCAGCCGTGCCCATCGTGCCTGCTGCGGGAGCTCGCCCAGGGTTGGCGGCCATGGCAGGGTGGGGCAGGGCTGCCAGATCCTCCCGCTGTCCCCAGCCCAGCACCTGCCTCTGCCCTCTTGCAGCTGCGCACCAAGCTGTCGTCGCAGGAGATCCAGCAGTTTGCGATGCGGCTGCACGAGTACCGCAACGGGGCCTCGATCCATGAGTTCTGCATCAACTTGCGGCAGCTCTATGGGGACAGCCGCAAGTTCCTGCTGCTCGGTGAGCTGGAGCCTGAGAGGGTGGCCGGCCCAAAGCTTGCTTGGGGAGGCTGCTCCCCCCTGGGAATGTGACCTCTGGGTGGGTGGGGTAGGGGCTCCGTCAGGGATGGGAAGTTTGAACCAGAGATGGTCATCAGACTGCAGGCTCAAGGCCAGGGGACCTGCTGTGACTACTCTGGGGGCTCTTCCCAGGGACTGCCAGGGGCCATCAACAGTCCTTCAGTCTCCTGGGAGCCCTTGAGCTGAGCTGGGTGGGCCCTGCCAGGGAGCAGCAGAGCGTTCCTGGGAGCGGGACTTTGAGAATGAAACCCTGGGATTTGGAAGGTGTGCCGGAGCGCAGTCAGGGAGGTGTGGGTTTGGGGACTGTGTAGCAGTGTGATGGGCAGAGGCAAAGATGCCTCTTTGCCCAGCACGTGGAAGGAATAACCTTTGCCAAGAGCCCCAGAGAGCTCACCATGTTAGATCAGAGCCACTGGCAGGCTGGGTGGTCTGGCCCGCCTCAGACAGCCGGGACTCAGCTGCGGTTTGCCCTTCTGCTGACTCTCAGAACACGCGAGCTGGTGGTAGCTAGCTGAGGGCGCCTGAGTCCTGAGCCTGTGTCCTTAACACACCAAGGAAGGTGGGTGTGTTGCCCTCATCCCGGCCCGGGGAGCTCACGGGAGGGGGGAGGGCTGCGGGCTGGGGCAGGCTAGCTGTACGGCCCTGTCCAAGTGGCACCCACCCCTTCCATGCTAGCACCTGTGTCTCCTCCCGGGCTAGGCTCTGCCTGCCCACCTGCAGCAGGGGTAGACGTTCTGAGAGACACCCGCATAGGAAGATGGCCTTCTAAGTAAGGGTGGTCACCCTGTGCTGGGCTGTGGCAGGGAAAAGGTGAGTTTGGGTATGAAGCCTTCCTCTGAGAGACTGCACCCTCATTGCTGGGTGCTGGGAGGCAGCTTCAAGGACTGCTGTGAGCCTCAGCTTTCTTGGCCGGGCGCGGTGGCTCACGCCTGTAATCCTAGCTCTCTGGGAGGCCGAGGCGGGCGGATTGCTCAAGGTCAGGAGTTCAAAACCAGCCTGAGCAAGAGCGAGACCCCGTCTCTACTATAAATAGAAAGAAATTAATTGGCCAACTGATATGTATATAAAAAATTAGCCGGGCATGGTGGCGCATGCCTGTAGTCCCAGCTACTCGGGAGGCCGAGGCAGTAGGATCGCTCGAGCCCAGGAGTTTGAGGTTGCTGTGAGCTAGGCTGACGCCACGGCACTCACTCTAGCCTGGACAACAAAGTGAGACTCTCTCAAAAAAAAAAAAAAAAGGACTGCTGTGAGCCTCAGCTTTCTTACTTGTAAAATGGGAGCTTTGTGAGGACTGACAGAGAATGAGAGGAGGTCATGGATGCCTGTGCTGGTGCCCCGAGGCCAGGAAGGCCAGGTGTGCCGGAAGCAGCAAGCTGGCCAGGGCCTGCAGTGCCTGTGGGAGTTGGGGACTTAGCCCGACCGTCTGGCCAGGGCACATGCTGTCAACCGCAGTAGCTAGACATGGTAAGCGTGGTGTCAGGTCTCCCAGGCTGTGCACCCAGGGGCAACTGCAGCCCTGTCCAGGGCTCTGAACCCTGGGAGCAGAGCCGAGCAGGCCAAGCCCACCTGGAGGTGCTGTGCTACGTGTGTCGCGTCTGCAGGTCTGCGGCCCTTCATCCCTGAGAAGGACAGTCAACACTTCGAGAACTTCCTGGAGACCATCGGTGTGAAGGACGGCCGTGGCATCATCACCGACAGCTTCGGCAGGCACCGGGGGATGCTGAGCACCACGTCTAGCTCCACCACCAATGGGAACAGGGCTGCAGGCAGCTCCGACGACCGGTCGGCACCCTCTGAGGGGGACGAGTGGGACCGCATGATCTCGGACATCAGCAGTGACATTGAGGCGCTGGGCTGCAGCATGGACCAGGACTCAGCGTGACAGGTGGCAGGCAGGGGAGCACCCCCACTTTCTGCACAGTTCTCTCAGGCCTTCCTGGGAGAAGGTGACCAGACCTGCGTGTCAGCCCTTCCCGCTTGCTGGAGGCTGGGGAGGAGCTCCAGGCACAGGTGGCCCTGGTGGCCCAGGTCCTCCACTGTGAAGGAGCCAGGAGTTGCCTAGGGACACACACCCCAGTGCTGGGTGGAAAGCTCTGGGCCTCATCCACCTGGGCTCTGCCAAGCCCCCACCACGTACCTGTTTGGGGAGGGCCAGGCTGAGCTGGCAGGGAGAGCCACTCCTGTCAGCCAGGGCCTTGGACAGCTGTCAGTTTTGCACATGATGTTCCTATTGTAACTCTCAGAGACCTTAAAAAGAAGTTTACTGCAATGTGAATAATTTAATCTCTGGTTGCCAAGCATGTTTCTGATCTATTTGGGCAAAAGCCATGGGTGCCAGGATGGGTGTCCATTCTGGCCTCTGCCCCTGGAGCCACATCTGTCCTGCAGTGCCTGGGCTGGGCACAGTGGTCGCAGGGGGCTGGGGCAGAAGACGCAGTGGGCTCTCGTGCCACAGAAATGACTCAATTTGGGCTTTGGCTTTATGGACATAGGACAAGAGCAAGTGTTCTGGGCCTCTCATGGGTGGCAGGGACTCCTTGATCATTACATCCCATGCACTGAATCCTCTAAGGACCCTGGCTGTGCCTAAGGGCCACCCCCTGGCACTGATGCTCCTGCCGAGTGGAGTACCATCTGTGAGATCTCTTCATCTTGGGGCCCAGGGTCCGACTCTCGGACAGTCCGGCCTGCTCCTCTGCTGCCCCTCCCCCCGCCCTCGTCCTGTCCCTGAGCCCTTCCCCCCAGCCCTGTTGGCTTCATTCTTGCCTGCAAACCTTCCTGGGGACACATGGAGAGGAGGGGGGAGGTAATCTGGGGTAGGTTGTCCTGGGCCTCTCCTTCCACTAGAAAGTGGCCAGACCCCTGCTGAGACCCCCACGGGCACATCCTGGAAGCCCCCAGGCTGAGGAGACTGGACGGTCGAATGCGCCTCCTGTGCAGGCTGGGGCCGTGTCCTGTTGGGCAGAGGGCTGCACACCAGGCCCTGGGGCTTCCCTGGGGAGGGAGGAGGCAGAGCCCCTGGGGCTGATGGATGCCCCAGCTGTGTACAGGCCAAGCCAGAGGGTCCAGAGTGTCCCTCAGGCACCTTCCAGAGCAAGGTGGTTGGGTCTGTGTGGTATCTCAGCTTTAGGACAGGAAGGTGGCCAGGACAGTGCTTAGTAGGGAGAATTCCCTCTGTCCTAGGCTGTCATAGAGCTGCTCGCTTGTGTGCCTGGGCCGGGGAAGGCAGAAAGGCTTTGTTGTTGGGGTTGTCTCTAGGTTTACATGCAAATGGGCCTCCTGGAAGCACCAGCAGAGACTGAGGACAAACCAGAAAGTCCCCTTGCCCCTACCAGAGCCCACCCTGTGCCAAAACGGTCACAGTGCCAGCCCAGCCTCTGCACATACTGAACTCGGCCGCTTGTGGGCCTTCTACGTGGACAGTCACTGGACGTGGCCCCACACTGTGGGTCACTGGTCTTTGCCAGCAGAAAGGGTAGAGGGCACGCAGCAGAGCTGGGCCGAGGGGACGCCAGAGGGCAAGGGGGTGCCAGGGAGTGATGAAGGGGCACCAGGGGGTGATGAGGGACTCCAGAGGACAATGAGGGGACAACAGTTCAGTAAGGGGACATCAGAGAGTGATGAGGGGACACCAGTTTATTGAGCAGCAGAGCTGAGGGAAGGGGCAGGATGGACCCAGCTTCAGGTCAGCAGCTACATGGTCAGTTCCTGCCGAAAAACGCAGAAAGAGAGGGTCATGTTGGGGGAAGTGCCACCACCCCCAGCAGAGCCAACAGCAGTTTCTCTCCGAGGCCCTCAGGAGCCAGGGAAGGAGCTGGTGCTTGCTCACCATGATGGCATTGACGATGTCACTGTGGTTGTCTCTCAGGGCCCGCACAGCCTTGGCCCTGGACACGTTGGCTTGGGCCATCACCAGCTCAATGTCACGCAGCTCCAGCCCTGCCTCGTCCACCTGGGGTGCGGGGAGCGGGGAAGTGGCTGGAGCTGCCTGAGGCCCCTGGGCCAGCGCCCTTCCCTGGAGGCAGGGCCCCCTCGCCAGGCAGACCCCTCCCCGTGCAGGGTCCTGGAGCCCCTGGACCTTACCTCCTCCTCCTCCTCCTCCTCCTCTTCTTCCTCCTCACACTCTGGCCTCACCCGGGGCCTGGGTGCTGACTCAGGGACCAGACCCGAGGGCTCTGAGGGCACCTTGAACTTCTCAGCCGCAGCTTTGTGCACTTGCTGGGACAAGTCCTCAATCTGCAGCACAGGAAACAGCTGTGTCAGCAGAGCCACACACTCCCTGTCCCCCGGCCTCCCCATTCTGCCATAGCTATGGCCAGAACAGACCTTGGCCTCACCGAAGACCACATAAGTGTCCGAGGCCGGGCTCTTGAAGACGTCAGGCTTGGCGATGACAAAGAGGATGTTCTTGGACTTCTGGATGGTGATCCTGGTGACTCCTTGAATCTGCCGCAAGCCCAGCTTTGACATTGCCTGGGAACAGAGGGCAGAGTTGGGCTCTGAGCTGGCGTCAGCCCGAGTCGGGGGAGGAAGGCTCTACCCGAAACCTCCCAGTGACCCTGGGTGGTCAGTCCTTCCCTGTGTGCAAAAGGGGGCTGGCCTCCGTCTGTGAGGCTGTCTGCACGTCCAGCCTCAGCGGTGTGAGGGCAGGTGTGTGGGTTACTGGCAGCCTCCTGATGGGTGGGATTTCATTAGCCATGGAGTGTGAGGGGTCTTGGTAGGGACGTTCCCCTATGCAGACGGTCCCAGTCCTGGGGTCCCAGCAGAATGCCCCCAGCCCACCTTTCGGGCCTTCTTCTCACTGCGACTCTGCTTGGCTTTGGCGATGGTCTCCTCGCTGCTGTCTGTCGGGGCCTGGGGAAATGTGAGCGGTGAGCACCCATGGGTGGGTGCGGAGCCCTCCCAGAGGCCCACCCCTCCCCTGGACAGGGCACCTGGGCTGGGCACTGCGTGGTCTGAGGCGCCGAGATGTCCTGCTCATCCAGCTCGGCTGATGAGTCCCCGTGGCTGTCCGAGTGCTGGCCCGAGCCTGGGGCCTGAGGTGAGTCTGGGGAAGGGAGAGGTGTGAGGATGGCCTCTCCCTCCTGGGGGCAGGCCTGGCAACTCTGCCCTGCTGCCATGTCAGGGCCAGAGAAAGCAGTGCCGGCTCTCCGTGATGGAGCGTGGTATCTGGGCCCCCCAGAGGTCTGTCAGCCCTGGGGGCCCCGCCCCATGCTCCTCCTCACCTTCCTCCAGGCTGTCCTCGTCCTCTTGCTGCTCAGAGGTGGGGAGCTCCTGAGGCCCAGAGCATGGAGGCACTTGGCAGGGGGGCGAGATCCGCAAGGCCAGGTCTTTGGCTTTTGTGGGGGCTGCCCTGGGACTGAGGAGGGGAGAGTGGGACGCGGGGCTGACCCGCTGCCCAGTCCCTGGAGGCTGTGAGGTTCCTGAGACAGCAGCAGCCACTGGCCGGGCTCCTGCCTGGGGCGGTGGGAGGCCTGGAGAACCTGGGGGCTCCTCGTCCTCCACAGAGTCTTCTTGGGGGCTCTGGCACAGGCAGGGGGCAGGGGGCTCCAGTGGGGGTGGGGATGCCCTGGCAAGGACGCCAGGAGTGGAGGAGTCAGGGCCTGCGAGCCTGTCCTGGGGTGCACTGGGCAGGCCCCTGGCAGGGCTTTCTGAGGGCTGTGGCGGGGAGGGGCTGGCGGCCCTGGGTGCTGCCTGGGGCTGCTCACCGCTGCCCAGGCCCAGCGCAGGCTCCAGCTGCCGGGAGGGTGGTTCGGACAGGGGGGCACCACCAGGCTCCTCAGGACAGCCTCTCTCCAGCCCAGAGGCAGACCCTGCTGAAGACTCTGGGCAGGAGCCCAGACCGGCCTCTGTGGCCACAGCTGTGGGAAGCCTGGGTCCAGGAGTGCATTCTGGGCCCCTTCCCTCCCTGGCTGGGCTCAGGGGCGGTGCCTGGTCGGCCTCAGGGCAGGCAGCAGGACGTGCCTCGGGAGCTTCTCCTGAACCTTGGGGTGCTGCCCCAGGTCCATGTCCCTGTGCCGGTGGCTTAGGGCCTCCTTCCCTCTGGTTCTCAGCCACCAGGGCCTCCTTGGGAGCTGAGTGGGCCTCAGCTCCATCACCTGTCTGCACTTGGGCTTCCAGACACGCCTCCCACTCGGGCTCAGAAAGGCCTTCGGCTAATTCCTCCCCAGCACCAGAGGCAGGCTCGGGAGCATCAGGGGCCTCCGTGCCCAAGGTGGGACATGCGTCTCCATGTGAGGCCCCGGGGGCCTCTGCGCCTGCACCTGGCTCTGGGTCATCCTGTTGGAACTGGTCCAAGGCTGGAGGCTCCACACCCCTAGGGAGGGCTGCATCCTTCTCGTCAGGTGCTGGCCTCAGTCCTAGCGTCACACCTACTTCTTCCTGGGCCATGGAGGCCATGGGCTCTGTGTCTGGGGCACAGCCTGCTGCTGCCTGCAGGGCCTGAGGGGTGACCGCAGCTACAGGCTCCTGGCCTAAGGGGGGGCCTGCATCTGGCAGGGGCAGAGGTGCTGCTGTAGCACAGTCCCGGGAGAAGGGAAGACTCTCTTCAGCCTGCGGGGGCATGGGCATGGCTGCGATCATAGGCTGTGGGCCTGAGGAGAGGCCTGGCCCTTCTCCCTTCAAGTTCTGAGGAGGGTCTGGGCACAATGTGAGGCTTGCTTCTTCCTGCGGAGTTGGGGGCGTTTCTGCAGTGACAGGGCCCTGCTGTAAGGCAGCGCTTCCGCCCTCCCGGGACAGCTGAGGCGTTGCCACGGCAGTGGGTGCCTGCCCAGCGGTGGAGTCTGCTTCTTCTTCCCCAGCCTGTGGGCTCACCCAGGTAGCTGCCTCCATCTGGAGGCCTGGGGCTGCCTGCAGAGAGTGAGGGGTCACAGTGGCAGCAGACTCCTGGCCCACGACGGGGCCCTCTTCTGATATTTCCGAAAAGGACTCCTGGCTTTGGGTAGGGTGGGCCTCTCCCCCTGAGACCTGAGGAGTGGCCTCTGGGCCCCAGAGTGTGGCCCCCTCCTGAGCCTCCGGCCCCTCGGCCCCTGCTCCGTCCTCCTCCTCTGCCTTCTGCAGGCTGTCCGGGAGCAGGGCGGAGGGCTGGGCGTGCGGCTCCCCGCTGTACAGCCTCTCGTCGTCCGCGCCTGCGTAGGAGGTCGAGTCCGAATCAGAGCAGGCCCCGGAGGTGTCATCTCGAAAGGCAAAGGCTTCGTCCATGCCCTCCGTGATGGACAGGTCAGACAGGGACTGCAGGAAGGAGGCGGACGTTGTGTCCTCCTCACCCTCCCCGACCAGGTCCCCGGCTGGGTCGGGAGCCGAGACCTCCTCCTCCTCCTCTTCCTCCTCCTCTGCAGGCAGTGGCGTCACCTCCACCGCCTCCACCTGGAAGATGAGGCTGCCCTGGAAGGGCAGGAGGGCTGCAGGGATCATTGGGTCATTGGCCAGGAAGTCTAGGTCGAAGAAGTGGCCCTCCTGGCCCCAGGAGGAGTCGCTGTCTGCTGAGAGGCTGGACTCGGAGGACGGGGGCCCCAGGGGCCCGGCAGGGTGCAGCTCCCGTTCGTCCATCACAGACCCCGCGGGGGAGACGCCCCAGCCCGAGGGGAAGTCCAGCCCTTCAGGGGCAGCCAGCAGGCTGAGGGAACAGGAGGGCGAGGAGGCCCAGCTGTCCCCATCGGCTGTGATGTAGGAGCCCGAGGGCGAGGCTGGGGGTGAGTCCCGCAGCTCTTCCAGCAGCTCCACCTCCGAGTCCCAGGTGTCCCTGTGGGGCCCTCGGCCAGGGAGCAGGGCATAGGTGGTCTTGGTGGGGGTGGAGGGGGGCGTGAAGTAGGAATCAGGGTCAGAGGGAGGGGAAGGCACGGAAGGATCATCCTGAGAACAAGACTCGGGGGGCGGGTTCAGGCTTGCTCGCCCACCGCCCTCCCAGTCCCTGAGCGCTGGCTGGGCGGCCCTGGGTGACAGGAGGGCCTGGCACGTCTCCTCACCCATCACGATCCGGGGCTCCAGGGCGGCTGGGAGAGGAGCCTCGGCGGGCAGAGCCTGGGGGGCCAGGCCCTCGGGGAGGAGTGCTGGGCTCGGGCCACCCTCAGCCGGGTCCGCCCAGGCTGAGGGGGACCCGTGGGGCCCTGCATCCCAGCTGGCCCCCTCGGGCTGGGGCCGGGTGCCCGGCTTGTCGGGCAGGAACGTGAGGGTCAGGGGGCTGGGCCCTGGGGTCAGGACATGGGGCTCCTGCCGGTCCCCTCTTGGAATGGTGGCAGCAGCTGCATCGCAGGAAAGATCTGTGGAGACAGAGGAGGACATGAGGCACCCCTGGACGCACCTCCAGGAGGGCCAGGCCAGGGGAGGTGGATTTCTGAGGAAAAGGGCTCAGAGGAGAGCTGGCTGAGGAAGGCAGGAAGGAAAGGAGAAGAGGCCGTGTGGGCTGTTTGAGGGAGAGTCCCAGGAGTTTTGACAGAGCAGAGAGCAGCTGACGGTGGTTTTGTGCAGAGCTTTGAGGGCAGTGTTGCTGGGTGCTATTAACGGACCTGCCCGGCAGCTTTTCTCAGGGCACTTCAGCAAAGATGCAGCTAGCATTTCTGTCTCTTCCCAGAGACTGGCTTGCCGTTTCTTTCCACACAATCAGTGCGGAGCAGCTGGGCTTGGCAGGACAGGCGGCGATCAGAATCTGACCACCCATTAGACAAACACATGAGGCAGGCAGGGGCTCACACGATGCAAGCTCTGGAACATTCTCGGTCTCACCCTGCTGTGAGGTGGAGGTCTTGCCTCTCTGGCTCATCTCTCCTATCCCTGCTTCCTATGCTTAAGGGCACCCAGTCAGGGGCTCACCAAGGCTCTACTCCGACCCTGCTCCCCTCCCCCCTCGCCATGGCCAGAGAAAAGGGGAAGCCAGGGGTCACCATATGTGGCCAATTTTCTGGAGAGCAGAGACAAAGGGTCCACCGAGGCTGAGTTGGAGCATCCAGCCAGAGGGGCAGTGGTGGGCAGGGATCCTGACCATGGAGTCTGGCGAGAGCACAGGACAGCTGTGCAAGAGCCAGTGGGGGCCTCTGGTGGAGTCTTCTCCATGGTGGCAGCCACCCCATGGTGAGCCCAAGATCCCTGCCCAGGGCTGGGAGCGCCCATCCTGCCCTGTGGCCCATCTCTGGGTCTCTGGTGCACCATCACCCAGACCCCAGGCAAGACCTCACCATCAGGCCGTGGTGCTCAGTAACTCTGGGCGAATACCTCCAGTTGAGAAATGACTCCACGTGCACCAGGAAGTAATGTGCAGGGGTCAGAAAAGACTGAGGGGACTCAAGGAGATGGAAGAAAACCCCTCTGAAGTTGCAGCATGCCACACTGCTGTGGTTTTCTGCCTCCTGGTCTCTTACTGGCCTGCATTTTATCACAGGCGAGATCACACTACACAGTTTTGAATCTAGTTGTTTTCACCCAGCATAATCTCGTAAGTGTTTTTCTGTGTGCTCCAATGCTCACAAGCCTCATTTTTAATGTCTCTGTGACATCCCCTCCCTCACCTGGACCAAGGCCAAGAACACCTCTGTCTGAAGCATTGGATAAGGCCCTCCTCCCTCCAGAGCCCAGGCCAAGATCTGCCGGAGAAGCAGGGAGGGGCAGCACACACAGGCTAGTTCTCTGGGCGGCAGATGCCTGCCGGGTGATTCCTGCTCTACGATACTCACTAGTGACAAGGAAAACATCCCCTACACCTCAGCTTTCTCATCTGCAAAGTAGAGCCAGGAATAGAGGTAAAGCTGAAGAAGGGGTGTCCTCCTTGCCAGGCTGCCCCATCTGCCCACAGCAGCATCAGAGCCGGGGGCCCTTGGCCACCAGCTGGGACTTTTCACTCAAGGGTTTTGCTACTGGGGTGCTAGGGCACCCTGAGAGAAGGGTCCTTTGGGTCCAAGAATGCCTGACTCCCAACACCAGCAGTGGGTGTGGCTCTGGGGCATCACTGGGTGCCCTGAGGTTGGGTTCTTGGCTCTGACCCCATGTGTGCCCCCCAGAGCAGGGGAATGGCAGAGCTGGGCCAAGGTCGGAATGGAAGGGAATCAGAGGCTAAAAGATTTTGTAACTCATTCAAGGTCGCCAAGCAAGCCAGAGCAGAGCCAGCACAGGACCCTGGGTCTGGGGAGTCCTGGCCTGTACTGCCTGCCTCCCACTCAGAGTGGAGCCAGCAGCCTGTGTCACCGCTCGGTCAGGCCTCAGGAGCCAGCACTGGTCCCACTGCCAGGTGACTTCTCGCCCACAGCAAGGTGCCCTTGGCCCTACCCAAACCACACATGGCCGACCTCCATGGCGGGGCCATCCAGGCTCTGATTGTCCCCAGGCCTAGGTGGACCCATCAGCCTCCACCAACGCTTGCTGACCCAGCCTCTCCAAGGACCACTGCTAACCAGGACACCTCCCCCAAGGCCTCCCACCTCCCAGACTCAAATCCGCCCTTTTCCTGACACACTGGCCCTGCCTCTGGGCGACCCCAGGCTCCAGCCAGTCCTGCTCCTCGCTCTAGAACCATGACCAGTCCTGGCCCTGGATGGCCTGGGGTGCAGTTGAGGACATTCCCGGTGGGCACCTTCAGAGACCCGCTGCCCCCCACTCCCCCTACCCACCGCCTTTGGTCCAGAGCAGCCCAACCCCGCCAGGTCTGCAGCATGGTGCAGAGACAATGGGCAGCAGCGGACAGGACACAAGCCCCCACGACCCCTGCGTCAGAGGCAGAGGATGCAAGCCTCACGGCGCTTCTGGCTTGAGGAGGGCAGTCCCTGCGCCCCCCGCCCTTACCTGCGATTCTGGCGAGGGGGAGGGGAGGCTTCATGCGGAGGGAAGGGCAAGGGCGGAAAGAGCCCGAGAGGGGACAGCCAGGTGGGCGAGGAGGATGGGGTAGGGAGAGGGCCGGCTACAGGGGAGGGATGGAGCGGGAACCCCGGCTGGAGAGGGGAGCGGCCGGAGGGGGGGAAGAATCGGCGTGACCTCACCTGTGCGGGGCCCCGGTCCGCCCGCCTCAGGCAACAGCAGCTCCGCACGGGCCGCCTCCCCAGGCATGGCCTGGCCGTGCGCCCGCCGGTCCCTCGCTCCCTCAGTCCCTCTGTCTGTCGGTGCCGCCGCCCCGCGGAGCCTGCGCGGCCGCCGCCCCTCGACCAGGCGGTGGGGGGAGTGTATGACGTCAGCGCCGCCCCGCCCGCCCGGCACCCCAAGTGAGCGTGCGCCGCGCCAGGCACTGCGGAGCGCGTGGGGGGGCTCCCTCCCCGCCCTCACCCTGTCCTGCCGTGGCCTCCCTCTCGCGGTGCGCGGGTCCGAGGGGGCGAGAGGGACGCCTGAGCCCGCCCCGCCTTTCCCATAGCTTTCCCCCCTTTACGGGGGAGGGATTGGGGCCAGTTGGAGGCTGGGCACCCCCTAGGGTAGCATCCACCCTTAGCTGGGAAGAGGCGGGGATGTACCCGGAACCTGAAGTGTGCAGGCCTGGGAAGGAGGGCGGGGATCCCTGGGGCAGGGGCTGGGAGCACTTCTGGGGGAGGTGGCGACATAGCCTCTTCGCCCCCCCCTTCCGCGACTCTCCCCACTCCGTCTCCTCCAGCCCCCTGCCGCCACCGCCACCGGCTGACTGGGAAGAGGGCGCAGGGCCGGGGGAGAGGTGGGGGCCCCGCCCAGCCCAATGCCTCCATCGGAAAGGTGAGCTGGAGCTGCAGCTCCAGCCTGATTGGTTGATCGTCGCAGTCGTCGGTCTCCGTGGCAACCGCCTCCTGTCTCCATGGCAACCGGAGATGGAGCCGGCGAGAGCATAGCGGGGAAGGTGGCCAGGATGGGTCTCCAGGTCTCTCCAAAACTTGGTGATCTGATCCCCCCGCCCCCAATTCTCTAGGCAGTGGAATAAAAAGGGAAGAAATGAGCCTCCCTCATTCCTGTAAGCCCCCTCCGCCACATCTCCCAGGAGTAAGCGCAGCCCTTGGCCTTCCTGAAATGTGCTCTTGCTCCCACACAGGCTGGGGCATCACGCAGAGTCACTGAGTACTGCCCTCCCGTGCCAGGCACCGGGAGACGGATGAATGAGACATTGTCATCACCCCTGAGTGGGGAATCAGAGCAGCCATTGTCACAGGCACGGAGGGAGCTTTCAACATCCTCAGTCTTCTGCTGGTTCCAATTTCGAGCTCATGAAGCCAGGGGCTGCCCTCTGACTCCCTCTAAACCTGCCCCAAGGTGCAGCACCACGTACCTGGCTGCCTGCTGGGGCCCAGGCACCAAACCCCACTGGGGTCTCTCCCCACTGGGGCCCAGGCACCAGACCCACCACATCAGTAGAATCAATATCAATTTTAAACAATCTCTTTCAGAAAACAGAAGAGGAGGGGACACTTCCTAACTCATTTTATGAGAAAAGAAATATCCTGATGCCAAAACCAACAAAGTACCAAAACCAAAATGAATCCCCCACAAAACCCCAGAAAACAAAAACAAAAACTACAGACCAGGCTGGGCATGGTGGCTCACGTCTGTAATCCTAGCACTCTGGGAGGATGAGGTGGGCGGATAGCTCAAGGTCAGGAGTTCAAAACCAGCCTGAGCCAGAGTGAGACCCCCATCTCTACTATAGATAGAAAGAAATTAATTGACTAACTAAAAATATATATAGAAAAATTTAGCTGGGCATGGTGGCGCATGCCTGTAGTCCCAGCTACTTGGAAGGCTGAGGCAGAAGGATTGCTTGAGCCCAGGAGTTTGAGGTTGCTGTGAGCTAGGCTGACGCTATGGCACTCTAGCCTGGGCAAGAGAGTGAGACTCTGTCAAAAAAAGAAAAAAACCCCACAAAACTACAGACCAGTATCTCTCATGAGTATAAGCACAAAAATTTTCAATAAAATATTGGCAAATCAAATCCAGCAATGTATAAAAAGAATTTACCCTATGACCAAGTGGAATTAATTCCAGGTATGCAAGGTTAGTTCAACACTTGAAAATAAATGAGCATAATTCGCAACACCAACAGGTTAAAAGAAAAACACTATATGATAATACCAATTGACACAGAAAAAGTATTTGACATACCCAACACCATTCATTATGAAAAAATGTTTTAGCAAGTTAATCTTTTTTTTTTTTTGAGACAGAGTCTCGCTTTCTTGCCCAGGCTAGAGTGAGTGCCATGGTGTCAGCCTAGCTCACAGCAACCTCAAACTCCTGGGCTCAAGCGATCCTCCTGCCTCAGCCTCCCGAGTAGCTGGGACTACAGGCACGAGCCACCATGCCCGGCTGATTTTTTTTTATATTATATATATTAGTTGGCCAATTAATTTCTTTCTATTTTTATGGTAGAGACGGGGTCTCACTCAGGCTGGTTTCGAACTCCTGACCTTGAGCAATCCGCCCGCCTCGGCCTCCCAGAGTGCTAGCAAGTTAATCTTGATAAAGATCACATACAAAAAACTTATAGCTAACATCATACTTAATGATGAAAAACTAAATGTTTTTGAAGATTGGGAACAAGGCCAGGGTATCTGCTCTCATCACTCTTTTCAACATATTAATATTACCAGAATTTCCAACCACTACAATAGGCAATAAAAATAAATAAAAAGCAGATTGACTTCTACAATGAAAGTGTGAGGAGTTCTGCTGACCAGCTCCCCAGTGAAACTGGTAAAAATTATTATTTTTTTAAATTAAAGCTTCAGCCAGGTGTGGGAGCTCTCACCTGGAATCCCAGCACTTTGGGAGGCCAGGAGTTCAAGGCCAGCCTGGGCATCAAAGCAAGACCCTGTCTCTACAAAAAATAATATTAAAAATTATTTAAAATTTTTAAAATAAGCATTCTGGTAAAGGTCCAAAGGGCAAACAGAAAAAGAAGAAACGTCTATTTATGAAAATCTATGAAAATTTAGTAAGAAAGGCAAGAATATGTAGTATTTGAACCAAGACTGCTTACTCCTAGCCAAGGAAGGTGGCCTCCACGTGAGGATGATGTAGATAAGAACTCGGGATTTCCTCTTTCCCCAGATCCCAGCCAGAGGGTTTTTCCTGGGAGGAGGAGGATTTCAGTATTTCTCATCCTGCTCCCAGCTACCTGTTGCTGAAGCTAAGTCCTGGGTGAGAGTGGTTGAGAGGTGGGAGCTCCCTTTTTCCACATGGCCTCCACTTATGGAAGGGAGGCTCTACCTTGGGCATGGCATCCTAAGAATACTGGAACTCTGATAGCCCCATCCCAGCTTATGAGGTTGTAGTTCAATGTCAAGAGACTGGAACTACAACCTCCCCCTTCACTACTGCCTCCCCTTCACTGAGTGCTTAGCTCCTAGAATAAGGGTGTTACTCAGAAGCTGCCATTGAGCTCAGAGATTTTGCCTGGAGGGAGAAGCAGGTTTTAAAAGATAACCCCTAATCTCTTTTTTTTTTTTTTTTTTTTTTTTTTGAGACAGAGTCTTGCTTTGTTGCCTAGGCTAGAGTGAGTGCCGTGGCGTAAGCCTAGCTCACAGCAACCTCAAACTCCTGGGCTCAAGCGATCCTTCTGTCTCAGCCTCCCAAGTAGCTGGGACTACAGGCATGCGCCACCATGCCCGGCTAATTTTTTCTATATATATTAGTTGGCCAATTAGTTTCTTTCTATTTATAGTAGAGACGGGGTCTCGCTCTTGCTCAGGCTGGTTTCGAACTCCTGACCTCGAGCAATCCGCCCGCCTCGGCCTCCCAGAGAGCTAGGATTACAGGCGTGAGCCACCGCGCCCGGCCATCTTTCTAGAGGAACTGACTTCACTTGAAACAGTGTATGGGGAAGTTTAAACAGCAGAGGTTATGGTGAAAGGCAATTGGAAGGAAATTCGTGGATCTAATGAAGATGCAGCCTAGACTATGGGTTGGCTAGTTTGCAGGAGAAAACTGGGGAATAAGCCAGCTGCAGGAGCCCTCTTGGGATTAGAAAAAACATCAATCTCTAATACTGATCTCAGAAACTATTCTATCCAAGAGGCCACAATTCTGATTGGTTTATAGAGGAATTTGTGGCCCAGAGCACTTTTGAAAACAACAGAGCAATCACTGCCATTTAGTAGTGGCACTTAATGGAGTTTAACAGCGGGGCATCAGGGAAAGAGAGTAAGAGAGCCCTACTGATACCAATGTCATTCCAGGGTAACTGTGCCATACCCATAGCTGCACCTTTCTGAGAAGGAACATCAGAGGCTTAACACTGCAGGGGTGGGGAGACTTCACTGAAAAAATCCAGCTAGACACTTAAACAAATAAACAAGCAAATAGCAATAACAAGGCCCAAAAGGGAGCAGGGCCAGACCAGTACCCAGAGTTGCTATAATGTTATTAAAACATCCACTTTCCAACAAAAAATTACCAGACACACAAAGAAACAGTAAAGTATGACCTTTACACTAGGAAAAAAAACCAGGCAATGGAAATGGTTTGTAAGAGCACCCAGATGTTGATTTAACAGAAAAATATTTCAAAATAGCCACTATAGATATCTTCATGGAGCTAAAGGAAACTATGATTACAGAAGTAAAGTAAGGTATATCATGACACTGCATCAAATAGAAAATATCAATAGAGATAGATATTATAAAAATAATCAATGGAAATTATGGAGTTGAAAAGCACAATATATGAAATAAAAAATTCACTAGAGGGGCTGAACTGTAGATTTGAATGGACAGAAGAAAGAATTAGTGAACCTGAAGACAGATTGATAGAAATTATAAAAACTGAAGAACAGAGAGAAAAAAGAAAAATAAACACAGACTCAGAGAATGTAAACACCATTAAGCACACCAACATACACATAATGGGAATACCAGAAGGAGAGTAAAGAAAAAGAATGGAGAAGAAACATATTTGAAGTAGTAGTGGATGAAAACTTCCCTAATTTACTGAAAAACAATGACCTACATATCCAGGAAGCTCAGTGGACTCAAAGAACATATATGAAAATAGATCCAAACATTATAACAATAAATTAATTCAGCAAG